AGCTATTGAGTATTTACAAGCAATTGAAAGAAAGTTCAAAGAATCTCAAAAGGCAGAAATCAGTCACTATATGGCAATGCTGACCACATACAAGATTGATGGCATAGGGTCAATCAGAGACCATATCTTGAAAATGACTGATGCAGCTGAGAAATTAAATTCTTTAGATGTTAATATTGGTGAAAAACAGTTAGTTTTCATGATCCTTCAAGCTCTTCCAAACAAATATAGTCAGTTAAAGGTGTCTTACAACACTCAAGACAAGAACTGGGATGTTGATGAGCTAATTGCACAGTGCGTTCAAGAAGAGGCTAGACAGAAGCAAGAAAGAGGGAAAGAAACTGAAACGGTGAATTTTGTGCAACCAGACAAGGGGAAGAAATCATTCAAATCATTCTCTGGACACTCTGGTAAGAACAACAATACCAAGGTAACCTCTTTTAAGTCTACTGCATCTGCCAAAGTAAAAGACTCTATTAAGGGATCTAGCAATCTTATGGTCAAAACTAAAAATATTGCCAAACTCAGATGTTTTTTCTGCAAAACTAAAGGACACTTAAGAAAAGATTGTCAAGTTTTTCAGGACTATCTTAAAAGTAAGGGTGTAGAAAATGTCAATGTCTGTGTTGAGTCTAATTTGATTGAAATCCCTGTGAATTCTTGGTGGTTTGATACCGGTTGCTCAGTTCACATTTCAAATTCTTTGGAGGGTTTTGTGAAATCAAAACAAACTGGTTTTAAAAAATTATAATGTCTTTGTGGGAGAAGGTACTAAAGTTGCGGTAGAAGCTATAGGTATGGTGTGTTTAAAATTGTCTTCTGGTTTTATACTAAAACTAAAGGATGTGCTTTATGTGCCTAAAATGAGGAGAAATCTGATCTCTGCTTCAAGAATTGTCAAAGATGGTTTTGCCTTTCTAGGTGATGATGAAAGTTTAAAATTTTTTGAAAAGAACCACCTAGATTGTGTTTTGGGAACTGCATATTTAAGTGACAATCTGTGGTGTCTAAATTGTACTTTGGAGTCCCCAAATCAACATGTTTTAAACATCAGCACTAAGAGGATGCACTGCAGTGATGATTCTTTCCTCCTTTGGCACAAGAGGTTAGGCCACATATCCAAAGAAAGAGTTTTAAAACTGTCCAAAGCTCAGTTGATCCCTGAATTAAATCTTGCTACTGCAATTGAGTGTGTTGATTGTGCAAAAGGGAAGATGACTAATTCTAGAAAGTTAGATGCCAAAAGGAGTCAGAATTTGCTAGAGATTATACACACTGACATCTGCGGTCCTTTTCCAACCAAAACTATTTGCGGTAATTCTTATTTTGTCAACTTTATTGATGATTTTTCAAGGTTTTGTTACACTTATTTAATCAGTGAGAAATCATCTGTCCTAGATTATTTCAAGGTTTATAAAACTGAGGTAGAAAAACAGTTAGGCAAGACCATTAAGATTGTTAGATCGGATAGAGGAGGAGAGTATTTTGGCAGGTACAGTGAGGCTGGACAACACAAGGGTCCGTTTGCGCTTTATCTTGAACAACAAGGCATTGTTGCTCAATACACTACACCAGGAACACCACAGCAAAACGGAGTTTCAGAAAGGAGGAATCGAACTCTGATTGGAATGGTACGAAGCATGATGACAAGATCAAAGTTACCAGGATTCCTATGGGGTGAAGCATTGAAGACAGCCACTTATATACTGAACAGAGTTCCGAGCAAAGCGGTTTCATCAACACCTTTTGAAATCTGGAATGGCAGGAAGCCCAGTTTTAGTCATTTCCATGTTTGGGGATGTAAAGCTGAGGCTAGAATTTACAATCCAAATGAGAAGAAATTGGACTCAAGGACAGAATCATGCTACTTCATTGGCTACTCAGAGAAATCTAAAGGCTTCAAGTTTTATTGTCCTCAAGCTCACACCAGGATTCATGAAACTCACAATGCCAGGTTCTTTGAAGATCAAGATATTGCAGACTTATCACAGGGCAGTTTCATTTTTGAAGAGATTGATCAAAATGAGAAGTTTTTTTGCAGTAATTCTTACAAAGAAATGTTGATCACTCCTGCTTCCATGATTGAATTGGAGGAAGAACACTTAGACTGTCCAGAAAATATTGACAGAATGGAAATTGATCTTGGGTCCCAACCACAACAACAAGGGGATCCAGCTCCAACTAATGATGCACCAATGAATCCGAGCACTGAAGTTCTCCATGATCCGACATTACCATTGAGACAATCTTCAAGAATCAGAAAAACCACAATGTCAAATGACTATGTTTATTTGCAGGAGCATGAGTTTGATTTTGGCGATGTGGATGACCCTCTCACTTATTCTCAGGCCATGAATAGTTCTCAACAATCCTTATGGCACAGTGCAATGAAGGAGGAATTGGAGTCGATGTCCAAAAACGAAGTATGGACATTAGTGGATTCCAATCCTCAATTCAAGGCTATTGGGTGTAAATGGGTTTATAAGACCAAAAGAGATGCTCACGGCAATATTGAAAGGTACAAGGCAAGGTTAGTTGCCAAGGGATTCACTCAGAGGGAAGGGGTGGATTACAATGACACCTTTTCTCCCGTCTCTTCCAAAGATTCTATGAGGGTCATAATGGCACTTGTTGCTCATTTCAATTTGGAACTGCATCAAATGGATGTTAAAACTGCCTTTCTTAATGGTGAGCTGGCCGAAGACATTTATATGAAGCAACCTCCTGGATTTGTTGAAAAGGGGAAAGAAGACATGGTTTGTAAACTTAACAAGTCAATCTACGGGCTTAAACAGGCATCAAGACAATGGTTCTTAAAGTTTGATCAAGTAGTTACAAGGCAAGGTTTTGTGGAAAACAAATTAGATGATTGCATCTATGTTAAATTTTCAGGCACTAATTTTATATTTTTAGTGTTGTATGTCGATGACATCCTCCTTGCCAGTTCTAATATGAAGCTGCTTAAAGACACTAAGACCATGCTCAGTAAGAATTTTGAAATGAAAGACCTTGGTGAAGCACACTATGTACTTGGTATTGAAATTGTTCGAGATAGATCAAGGAATTTACTCGGTTTATCACAAAAGGGATACATAGAAAGGGTACTCATGAGGTTCAATATGTCAAGCTGCAGTAATGGTGAAGTACCAGTCAACAAGGGAGACAGATTCTCAAAGGCTCAATGTCCCAAGACGCCTATGGAGATAGATAAAATGAAGAATAAGCCTTATGCTTCATTGGTGGGAAGTTTGATGTATATAACTATCTGCACTAGACCGGACATAGCTTTTATAGTTGGAATGTTGGGCAGGTTTCAAGCAAATCCAGGAGAGGCACATTGGGTAGCAGCAAAGAAAGTTTTGAGGTACTTGCAAAGAACCAAGAATTATATGTTGGTTTATGGCAGGAATGAGCTATTGGAGTTAGTTGGCTACACTGATTCTGATTTAGCCGGTGATGTAGATGATAGAAAATCTACTGGAGGTTATATCTTTATGCTAAGTGGTGGTGCAGTCTCCTGGAAAAGTGCAAAACAGACTATCATCGCAACATCGACAATGGAGGCAGAATTTATAGCTTGTTTTGAAGGAATGAAACAAGCTGTATGGTTGAAAAACTTTGTGACAGATTTGAAAGTTGTAAATTCTGTGCAAAGGCCTATCATGATGTATTGTGATAACAATTCTGCAGTATTTTTTAGCAAGAACAATAAGAGAACTTCAGCTTCAAGACTGATGGATGTAAAATTCCTTAAGGTCCGAGAAAAGGTTAGAGAAGGAGCAATTCAGGTGGAGCACTTAAGCACAAATGCAATGATTGCGGATCCTTTGACTAAAGCATTGCCGATTGGAGTATTTAAAACGCATGTCTCTCGGATGGGAATACTTGAATCCTTTGATCAGTGGGAGTAATTCGTTAGTCTTATTATGACTGTTTATTCGCTGCTGTGAAGTTCAGAGAGCTGGTGTGGTGATATAGACAGGTTTCAAATTTCAAATTTAAAATCTTATGGCTGGATAGTATTATGTTTGTTAGTTTGTTTTGTTTATTTTATCGAATTGAGATCAGTTATGATGATCTATTGTTTCGAACAAAATAAAGTTTGATATAATTCATTTGTTGCTTTAATAATGGTTTCTCCGTTTAAAGCATTTAGTGATGAATTGTTGATTCATGCATTGTTTTGAAGCAAAGATTTGTTTTACATCTTGCTGACAATGATTTGAAATAGTGGGAGCAAATTATTTTGCTTATTACTGATATTGATCAAGTTCACAACGTTGAGCATACAAATTGAATGTCTGTAACTCTTGAAAACCTGTTTGCTTTATTGTGGTAATACAGTTACAAGCGTTCTGCATTTTGAGATGTATGATAGCTGGTTGTGATTGAAATTTTATTAACAAGACTAGTGATCACTTCTATCTGCACATAATTGACTTGGCTGAGTACTTAAAACTGTTCTCATACTCAAGTGGGAGAATGTAAGAATATGAGTATGAGATAGAGGAGTTTTAGGACCGGCTATATGTGTTCAATTGGATAGAAAAGTCTTGATAATAAAAGGAATGCTAATCCCTTATGAAGAGGGATTCTGTACAGCATGAAGATCAGAACAAGGAGACAAGATTTGTTTCCTACATGGATTTTGATAGGGAATCCTAATCAGTTATGGTAAAGATTATATGTATATATATAGTGGCCTCTCTTCTCACAGTAAAAGGCTGATATTCTGGACTTAATCCTATTTATAAGTCGAGCTCTTGATAACCTGCGAGAGAAGAGAAGGTACACTGAAAGTTTGCGGCTATGGCTTCGGGTTCTGCTACAAGTGCAGGTATGTTCTTCTTCCTGTGTTTCTCAGATACATAAGTTGAATATTTCTCTAAGTTGTAGTTCATGTTTTGGTCTTGGTGATTATGATTAAGGGTCTTACATGTGACTCATTTTCTCTAGCGATTTGATGGTGTAAGTAGGAGACGAGGCAAGAGGGAAGAACGTATCCACAAATGCAAATGTTTCACACATTTTGTTTTGAATATATATATGATTGCGGGACGCGTAGTAGGAGGGTCACTACAAGTGTCTTGATTCATTCATCTATAGAAAAACAAAAAAAAAACAAAAACAAAAATGAAATGCATACTTCATTATTTAGATTGCCTCAGAAAAACACAGATTTGTTCAAGTAAAATACAGGGATTCTACTGTATTGATACCAATGTGGTAGAAGAATCTGCCGGGGATTTTGGAGGAGAAGACAAGTAAGGCTTGGGTGGTATCTGCAACGAATCAACACTCCCTTCCAACATATCTATCACTTCCTTCATCGCCGGCCGGTTTGAAGGATTAGTTTGTATGCACCACAAGCTCACTATGATCATCTTCCTCGCCCTTTCTTTGTCTTCCTCGTTCTTAACGCTTTGCAGACCAAGCTCTTTGTTCAGCTCAAGACGCTGGTAAATCCAATGCGGAAAATATATTTCACTTGTATTATCAGCTTCAACATTGATGTTCCGTCTTCCTCCAATCATCTCTGAAAGCATCATTCCGTAGCTGTACACATCCGACTTGTGTGAGACCCCTCCAAAATTTCTAGAAAATACTTCTGGAGCAATGTAACCTGCTGTACCTCTTGCTCCCAACATCGACACAATACTATCTTTGCTGTTGCATATTTTGGCAAGGCCAAAATCCGAGATTTTTGGGGTGAAGTTTTCATCGAGAAGAATGTTGTGAGGCTTGATGTCTAAATGCAAAATTCTTGTGTTGCAACCACGATGTAAGTACTCCAACCCTCGAGCAATGCCGAGTGAAATTCGATCCAATGCTTCCCATCCCAAGTGATCATGACCTACGTTGGGAGTACTTGCATCAAATATGAATTTCTCGAGAGATCCATTAGACATGAATTCATAGATGAGAGCTCTTTTGGAACCCTCAAAACAAAAGCCTAACAAGGTGACGACATTGACATGGGAAGTTCTACTAATGGCTGCCACTTCATTCATAAATTCTTCTCCATCTCCTTTTAGTTTGGTCAAGACCTTCACTGCTACAAGACAGCCGTCCTTTAACTTTCCTTTGTAAACAGCACCACAGCCTCCTTGTCCTAATTTTTCTTTGAAGGAGTTGGCCATTTTCTTGACCTCCGAAAAGCTATATCTTCGTACTTGTAACGGCCCGTAGCTCCTTAGAAAGGCCTCTACAATTTGAAGATTTTGGTTTTGCTTCTTCCAAAAGAACAGAAATCTATATGATGATAACTTTCCCCTTAAGCAGCAAACGATAACGATTAGAAATATGAGACCAGCACCTGCACCTGCACCTGCTGAATATACGTTGAAAATATAGTGATGTGTTCGATCGAATGGTAGGCATCCCGTGTGGCTATAAACCTTATTACAACATATAAACTTAGGAAAACAAATCTAAGCAAGAGGGTTAATGCAATAAAGTTGTAATTACCTATGGAGACTTTAGCCACCAAGTTTCCACCTTCGTCATCTTCGTCCATACAGCGCACAGAATGAGTCGTACTGTGGCAGAGGCACCTAAAATGGTAGGTGGTGTAATTAAACCCACATAACCCTCCGCTACTCTAGCAGCGGCTGCAGTCGACTGCCTTCCACGTCATCTCAAACCCTCTCCCCAACACCTCCTTCATTCCCGCTGCCTCAACATTCCCGTACCCTCCACCATGCGCTGCCGCCACCTCACTCGATCCACACTTTTGGGACTGCAGGACATTTCCAACTTCAGGGTATTCATCCCGAGGCACAGCAAGAACCGAAGTGTTATTACAACCAATCTTGTACTTTGGAAAAGAATCGACAAACGAAGAGTTGCAGTTGTAGAGCAGAAAGAATTGATCTTGGTTTGGAGCCAGATTAAACTGATCATTAGGGAGGGTTAAGTTGTTGATTGACGACAGGTTAGTACAAGCAGAGTTGTTTAGGTAGTGTGAAAGCAGAGCATTTGAGACAAGAAGAGAACTGGTTTGGTAACTGATGTTGTGGATTATGTAATCGTTACCAGACAAATGGAGAATTGGGTAGGCTTCTCCGTCTTCATCTCCGCCTTGGCAGGAGAGCTCGAAACCAGGATACCCACAAAAGGGTTGTTGCTTGCCTTGGATGTAGAATGGATACCTAATGTCTTGGCTGCCACAAGTAATGGGCACACTGCAGTTTTGGTAGAAAAAGTTCACAGCCAAAACCAATGACGTTTCAGATGACAGGACAAAAATCATGAGGAGGAGAATACAGACGTTTTGATTCATTGTAAATTTTAGAGAGAGAGAGAGAGAGAGAGAGTGAGAGATCATAAGAAGACTCTCGACGAAAACTTCATCGTTGAGGCTCCTGCAGCTCTGTGAATCGAAGATGATAGAGTGCCTTCGAATTCAAGCGAGTATGCTCCCTCTTCCAGTTGGATCGTCGGACCAATTTGGTCAGAACAATCAAAAGTGAACAATCCGCATTCAGGAGGATGTGCACTGCTTTTGAAGAGTGGGAGAGAACAGAGGAAAGAAACTCAGAGCTCTCAGATAACCTACTTGTACTATTTCTTCACAGCATGTATGGTTGATTCAGAGACTTCTAATCAACACGCTACTTTACTTGGAAATTTCATATGCAGCAGACAATATAGAATCAAGACTTGACTTGGAAAATTCAGCGTACAATATGGAAGTGTTTTTCGCACTTCAGTTTTCTCCACCTGCTCACTATCGTGTTTTTCTGTTTTCTTGTTGTGCCTTGGCCTGTTTGTCAATGTGGAAACGAAATTCAGATTACAACCTCACCAAAATCACACTCAGTTGAACAGAATAAAATACAAGAAATAAAGACACCGAGAAATTTACAAGGTTCGGCAAAAACCTGCCTACGTCCCCGGAGAGATATTGCTCTTCACTATGAGAATAACAGTACAAGTACACATGAGTTAAATCAACATAACCCAATCCCAAATCTCTTGCACACCCACTCATAGAATTTTCCCAAGAACCTCACTCTATCCCAAGAGTTCTTTCACTATAATACTTTTCACTCTAGCTCTCTTGATTTTCTCACCCGTGCCCATGCTTTCCCATGGGAGAGCCGAATGCTCTCACCCTTTGGATGCTCTCTGATGTCTTCTCAGGAGAGAGCCTCAGGAGAGAGCCAAATCTCTCTCTCTCTCCCTTCGGTTCTTAGCAAAATAAATAGCAAAAGAAAAAGGAATCAACTTTCCCTTTTTCCACAAACATCATCATTAAAGTAAAAGCAAGCATCATCATTATGTTTTTACTCATGATGATGTCCACCAAACTTTTGCTTTTACTTTGTCTGCAATTTTCATGCAACCCACGCCATGTGATATTTCCACCGAAAGCAAACACAGTTCACTTCATTGTTGTTAACACATGACTCATAATTACTCACAAATGTATGAGCCAAACACAACATTTCTAGCCCTAGGATTGAATAAATCAAAAGAAAATCACTTCCGTGCATTTATTTCGTGTTTCTGTTTTCCAACCCTAGGATTTGTTAGAACCCTACTTTACATCTTCCACAATTGCACAGAGAGATAGGTAACAGAACATGAGAACAACAATACAATTTCATTAACTGCCTTTCTTCTCTTACAATGTACTATTTATGCTAATACGTAACTCTGATTGTCACCACAAGATGATGCCATCTGGCATCCTAACAATACCCCCCTTAAAACCAATCTTACAAGATTTACAATTTCGAACCAAGTACAATTGAAAACCAGCAATAAAACCAGGAACAACACAATCACAAGAATGTATTAAAAGTTCACAATTTCTGGAACTTAAGCTTGAGTTCATGGTATAGTTCCCATGTAACATCATGTTTGGAGTGGTTTTGCCATTGACTAAGGCTTTAGTAGCCGCAACACTTTCTTGATTGTTCTTTTGTCTAAGATTGCAACTGGTGCATCTTGCAAATTCCCAGCATCTGTGATAACTGGCAATGGCACTGTGGTTTGTACTTGTGGTCCCAAATGCTTTTTTGGGCAAGAACATGGAACATGAAAATGAAGTATGAACTGAAACACTACACTCATCTAATTGAGTACCCTCCACATTCAAAGCTTGACAATATCTGCAAACAAGATAGTTTTCTGTTCTATCTGGGTTCTGCATCTTTGATGTTTTGCTGCTTATTTCCTCTCTTGGTTTCCCCCCATAAAATGAGCCATGCAGCAAGGCTTGAAACTGAAAAACCTAAAGAATTTGATCTGCAAATGGAAGCTTCTTCTGCATGTGAAAGCTATGAACCATATTGTTGGTACCACACATATTGGGCCTCATACTTTGATACATTGGGCCTCATTACCCAGCCCATATGATTATGTAAAAGGAGGAGCCCCTTATTCTATAAAAGGAGACTCCTCCCTCCTCACAAAGAGGACGAAGAAAACCCAACAGAGGGCAATACCCTCACAAACACAACAACACTCTCTTTCTCCGGGGACTCCCTCTCACCCTTGTAATCCATACATACAGTCAGAGAAATACAATCAGTGTGGACGTAGCCTAAACCTTGGGGTGAACCACGATACATCTTGTGTTATTTACATTACTTGCAGATTCACGGTCGGATTTACGTTGTTCCAGAACCTCCGATTTTGTGTATCAACATTTGGCGCAGTTTGTGGGAAACGATACGAAAAGTTGTGTCGGTTCTCTTTCAGTTTTTCACTTCCGCCGTGAATCTGCAAAAACCCACACAGAGACACAGACACAGAAAGCTCACATTCAGAGAGCTCTCATCCTCATAGAGCTCTCTCTCTCTCTCTACAAAACCCAGAAAGCAGAAAAAACAGGGGAAAGGAAAAAATAAAGATCAAAGTTTTCTTTTTTGGTGCATAAGAAATAATGGGGCGGTATCAGCGGCATCACCACCAGTGGGGAAAAGTTGACAAGCCTTGTGCCGCAGTAGAGAAAGATGAAGACTCACTGACCACTACCTTTCTAATGGAGTTTGCAAACTCTGGTTATAATTACAAGAGAACAAGTCCCAAGCTTCTCTATCTCATCTTCATCTCCTTCTTCTCTTGCAGCTTCATCTTAACCCCTCATCTTTTCAACTCCAACACCACTTTCTCTCTCCTATATTTAACACCAATGGAGGATATGAAAGTAAATGTTCCCATGTGTTCTTCAATCTCTAATGCAGCAGAATCCGCAACCCATATCATCTGGCAAGTAACACCTAGAGAGAGCCCAAAATTACAACCCTCGTTCACCGCTAAGTCACCATCTTCCTGGAGCTATTCCTCATCGCCACGCACCGCCAAGAGAATCTCTTTTTCGACGGCTCCAAAGCCGAGCTCTCGACCCATCGAGCCGTTCTCCGGCTACGATTCTCCTACGCCAAAGTCCTCTCTGCACCGTGACGCTCAAGGCGCGGGCAGTGCTTGTCGATGACACCAGCCGAGTGGAAGAGGACGAGGAGTAGCTTGATCACTCGATCGGGCGGGCCTGCATCGCCGAGCCAGATAAGATGATGGCTGCGGAGTCTAGGTTTTGAGGAGGGTGAGAGAGTTCAGTGGTTTTCGATTTGGAGCGACGTCCATAACAGCCTCCATTGGCAATACCGAGATTAGCTGGGACAAATCCACAACCCGAGTCAATGGACGAGTTAGTCGAGTTCTATGCCTGCTGAGGGAAATATTTAGAAGTTATGCCATGTATGTATGTGCATGGTGTGACTACGTCACTGAGGAAAATAATGAGAGAGTGGTGAGGGTGATTATCTGTGGTGGATCTTTCAACCAAAACGGATCAAAGTGGATCTTTCAACCAAAATGCTGACAAATGCGCAGTGGAAAGAAAATAATAAAAAAAAAAGAAAAGAAAAGGATGAGCTCTCAAGTAGGCGCAGTGACCAACCAACAACAACAGGCAGCTATCAACCACTCTTACAAAGAAAAAAGAAAAAAAACTCACAGATAAGAACACTTTTCCTAACCCTTTTCATTATTAGCTTCCACTTTAATTATTTCTGCCACGCCTTGTCAGCCGTGATAATATATATATATATATATATAAGTACATGTAGAGAGTGATGGTGTGTGGTGTCACATGACATGCACAGTTACAGACGAATACAATATGTGATGATTAGGGCACCTAATGAAACTGCCTGCCATTTTATATCCCCATTGTGGCTAAGATATATATATATATATATATATATATTTTTAATAACCTACACATTTAGGCAATACCTAATATATTGTTGATTTATGCAACATGTCACTTATCACATGGCTGAATAAATTATTTATTTATAGAAGGCACATAGTACAATATTTTGCCTTGACAAACTTTGTCAAATTGATTTATTCATTATACGATCGTACTTATATTGTCATTTATTGTCAGGAATTATTGAACAACTAGATCCACTGATCAACATTGTTGCTTATTAAAGAAGTCTACCAACATATAGACTGATGAGCCACGTGCTCATGGTGATCTCTTGTTTGACCAGACACCCATTTGCTCGGACATTCGCTTATTGGGACACCTATGTGCCTGGACCCAACTTAATGACCCTACAGATAGCCCCAACTCGATGACCCTACGTATGGCCCCGACTCAAAGACCCGACCTGCAGACCCAATCCGCGGATCCGACACATAGACCAATATGCGAACCCGACATGTGGACCCGAGTCATGTCGAGAATCAACTCATACTGAGTGCATGTCGACATAAAGTATATACTTGCAATGAGGAATACCACAAGCCGAGCCGCCTTGCAGCAAGCATAGCCTTTAGCCGAGTCGCCTCGCAACGAGCATCGCCTCCAGCCGAGCAAACGCCTCGCCGCGAGCATAGCCTCTAGCCGAGCAGCCTCGCAACAAGCATCGCCTCCAGCCGAGCAGTCTCGTAACGTGTGATACCTCTAGCCGAGTATTGTTTTATGTTGAGCATTGCCTTGTGTTGAGTACTAATTCAAGACATCTAGCCACTTCGGCCCGTACATGGATTGAATTTGAAGTCTCCAGCCAAAAGACTCTCTTGACTAAAGACTTGAGGGACTATTATTGGTACCACACATATTGGGCCTCATTACCCAGCCCATATGATTATGTAAAAAAATGAGCCCCTTATTCTATAAAAGGGGACTCTTCCCTCTCACAAAGAGGACAAAGAAAACCCAACATAGGGCAATACCCTCACAAACACAACAACACTCTCTTTTTCTGGGGGGACTCCCCCTCACCCTTGTAATCCATACATACAGTCAGAGAAATACAATCAGTGTGGATGTAACCCAAATCTTGGGGTAAACCACGATACATCTTGTGTTATTTACATTACTTGCAGATTCACGATCAGATTTACGTTGTTCCAAGATCATTAACAATGGGGAATGTCATCTTCCCTGCCCTGCTCAACTCAATATACGTACTACAAAATACTCCACCTACAACTATGCAAGTAGTATATGCAACCAACATCACCACCCCAATCATTCCATCTTCGCTACAATCAATATAATTTCCAGATTCATTTAGACAAGAGAAATGAGTATTTGAAATAAGAACACAATCACATACATGTAGTCCAGCAACTTCTCCCCCAACTCGGAATGCGGCAATGATAAGCTTTCAGGCGGGCTAGTATCGATATTTACACTTAGCTGTAGCATAGACCCCACCTCCTCTGCAATCCTTTGTTTCTCAGCGGAAACTGCTTTTATTGCCTCCTTAGCTAGTTGCTCATCCACACCAAACGATAATCCTGTATCATTTACTAGTTGGGTATACAAACTCAGGTCAACCTCCTTATCTCCGACAATCTTTAGCTTTGAAAT